TGGAACCCAAAATCAGTCCGAAGTCTAGGGCTAGGTTTAGGACGAGAGTCCGTGCCAAAGGGGAGAACCTGCTCTGTGTGGTGCTACAGGTCACTGTTGGGGTCGAATTCCAGAGACTGCTGAGTAGTTGAAAGTGGCTGTAAAAATATGCTGCCTTGTCTTAGGATTCTGGTACCGGTAGGGTCAATCGTGGCCTTGGGTTTGGAGCGGCCGGTGAAATCAGTGATCTCCTTCAGCGAGAAGGCCAGCAGTAAACCATCAAGAATTACAAGTGAGATAAGCATTGTCATGGGAAATGCTTATTACCAATACAATTTTACCAATGGGTTAGCTTTAGACTACTTGTAGTAATAGTATACTGTTGCATATCTGCTTGTTTGATAATTTCCGATATAAATTCTTTCCAGGAACTTTAGCGATACAAATTCTTTACTGGTTAAACCAGTTTATTCTTCCTGAATGCAAACTTTTAGTACACAGTAATTCTACAGTCAATATTACGTTTCTCGTCACTTTAAACTTACCACTTTATAATACATGCTATAAATCACAGCAATCTCGACAACTTTTCTCTCGACCAGTACAAACACACACTTTATATTACCGTCACTACTGTTCGCTTCTTTAATTATCTATCTCGCTGGCTTTCATTGCCAGGATTATATACTAAGAAAAGAGGGCGCCTAGCAAACACTCGGTCATTCGCGGTGTTCCCCGATAATTCGAGAACCTCCAGCGCACATGCTCTCAGCGTCACGCGACTTCCGCTGTCGTAACAATACATACGGGGAGGGAATCTAGACGGGGATGAGTTTCGCGGCACAGCGCATTTGTAAGTTGATACTGAAGCGTGAACGACAAAATCAATAGTATTTCTGAAATAAAAGAAGTGCACAGACAATATTACCTTCACAAAAGGAAATAAACGATTATAAATTCCTTTAATAACGAAAAAATAGAATCAACAATACTTAAAATATTTTATTGAAGACATGCAATTTAAGAGTAGAATATGGCTAAGAGGGTAGAATTACGTCACAAGCATGCGCATATCTACTACCCAGATGAAATTTAAACATGAGTGTGATTTCGTAGCACAGTGGGGATTTGAGAAAGATAACTATTGTAAAGTATAACACAGCAAAATATTATAATAACTAGTTACATTTTGGTATGCAAGTATTGTCAGCGTTGGTGACTGATGTATTTAACTCTCATGAACAATAATTTTTGCTTTAGCAATGTGGTGTGAACTCAAGCCTGAATCAGCAATCATTCAAGTGAGTCACTTTCTTCTTCGAGTTACGTAAAGACGAGTTCGATGTTTAAATGAACAAGTAGATTTGTGACTGTTGGTGTTACTTAAGTTAATGTTACCCATTCCTGAAAGTAGGACCTCTTATCTGCTTTTCTTATAGGGTATGGGTCTGTCGTTAGTTTGGTAGTGTTACTGTGTCAATTTTGCGACCTACTTGTGATCTAATACCAAGGTAGATTATATAAGCAGATTCAAAACAGACAAAAACAATGTCTTAATTTTTGGCTTTCATCTACTGTTAACGCAATTATTACTTTAGTAGTAATTATTAATATTACTATTCCATAACCAAAAATTTCTTAACTTGTCAGTAGTACAACTTGGTTATTAAAGTTAAAACGATTACATAAACATATAACATAAACTAAATACTTAATCATCCGCATCAGCTTTTTCATCTGATCTCATTTTCAAGGAATAACATGAGGCCATTTTGTTGACCAGGCTAAGACTCTGAAAGTACATTGTGGTGTGTGTGTGTATTAATATATCAAAACTTAGCCTATACAGATAAAATGACCCCAATCAATAACACATATAACTAGGGGGGGGGGGGTCAATGAATTTGAAATAGAGAAAATAACAAAAAGATCTACACATCACTGTATTCCAAGTATCGAATTAGTAGACTTAAATTGCAATTTGAACTATATAGTCAATAATTAATGAAAATCAATTAATAATTGTACATGTACATTAACCTTTTGCACTACACGAACATTTTATTTAAAAAATGCAAATAAAATTTTACCCGGTAACCTGAGACATTGCATGAAATTTGTGACAAGGCAAGGTAAAATGTAATCTTAATAAATTACTTTAATTTATTTAAAACTTATACACGTAAAGGAAATGTAAACTGTTAAAAATCAATTTTGAATTTTCATATTTCCTATACATAAACTTATGAATTATCAAATAAGGACCAAAAAGTTCATTATATGGCTTTGTTTTTCAAATTAAAAGACCAGTTGGTATTTATTAATGAATTTAAAGTTCTGTTTGTGTGTTTTCAAATGGAAAATGCTTCTGGATACATAAAGAAAAACATCCAGAAAAATCAAGAGAGCTATTGTTTAGTATATCATTGATTCTTATTATCCAAGCACCCACTCGCCAACGTCCTGTTTTTTGGTGCTAACAATTGCCCATTAGTCGCTACTAAATGGTGGAAGAATGTTTCGGGATCGTTGCAAACTTATTATAGCTAATTTACAACTAGTGGAAATATTGTTGCCTTGAAATAAACAGTGCAAACCCAACATGTAATTGTACTTAAACTTCTTTCATAATTTGATGTTTTGTTAATGGGAAATTCATATGCTTGCAACTGCAAATTCACACTCGGACACTTCCATGGCCAGTAACTATAATTTTCTGGAAATCTCTAATGTAACATAATTTAAGGACAAGAAGGAACCTTTGAACTAACTTTAAAATAATAACAAAACACTCAAAGCCAGCCATTATCATTAAAATATTTATGTAGCTTTCCCTTTTAGTTTAGGGCATCCACCATAACTTGGTTAAAACTAAACCTGTCTTACCTGAAACTTAATATCCGTTTTTCCTAATCTTAACATACTCATTATTAAGTACGAAAACAGATGATGCATCAACACTGTCATTTCCATTAACAAACTTAAACATCTCAATCAGACTCTTTCTGACTCTTCTTTTTTCAAGAGAAAATTTCAGAGATATTACCATATTCTTTTATAACAACCTTTCCAAGAAAGGTGTCAACCTAGTAGTCATCTTCTGAACCCTTTACAACAATTCAGTGTCCTACCTAGCATAAGGAGGCTGAACAATATTTCAAATATGACCTAACCAGTAACCTATACAATGAAATTATAACTTCTTTAGACTTGTATTCAAAGTTTCTGTAGATACAACCTAGAATCATATTTTCACTACCACTAGCAATTGCACACACTGCTTGGATAGCTTAAGAGATTGATCAACTAGAACACTTAGATCCTTTTTTCCATAACTGTCAAAGTTATTCCCATCAAAATTCTACTTAAAACTAAAATTATGATATCCCACATGCATTACTTTGCATTTATTATAATTAAAAGGCATCTGCTATTTGTTTGCTCAAATCATGAAATAATCCAAATACTTTTGTAGCTCAGTAGAATCCTTCTCACAGTGAGCAAAATACAAAATCACAGCATCATTAGTAAACTTAAGTAACTTATGGACCATTCCTTTAGGTAAATCAGAAAGTTCCTAATACTGAGCACTAAAATATCCCACTTATGGTATTAATCCAGTTTGACTAAACTCTATTTTTGACAACACTCTTTCTTCCAGCCAGTTTTCTATCCAATGAGCCAACTTATCCCCCATATCTGCAGAGATAGTTTTTTGTTTTTTTAAGTCTTTTACGTGGAACCTTGTAAAATGCTTTCTCAAAATTCAAATACATCAAATTCACACCCATATTCTCATCTACATAACCATGTAATCTCTTTAAAGAAATGCCAATAGATTTGTAAGGCAAGATTTTCCCTTAGTGAAACCAGTTTTACTATCCAACAAAATTTTAAACTTTGCTAAAAGACTTTGTAAAGCATCTTCTACCAGACTTTCAAAAACATTTCCCACCACTGATGCTAAGATTAATAGGTCTATAATTACTGTGACAATTTTATCACCTCCTTTTAAACAGTAGAGTAACATTAGTCTACTTCCAGTATTCTATCACCAGCAATAGCAACAAGTGGCTCACATATTTAGTCCTTAACCTCCTTCAAAACACTTTGGGAAATATTACCTGGCCTAGTAGCTTCATCATTCTTCAAACTTCCCACTATTGTCTTATGAGATCTGAATCAATGTGATAATCTTTTTTAATTTTGTTCCTATCTAACAATTGTAGAAGATGATGAATTCCTTAACCATTTTGCTCTGGGTAGGTTAAAGTGCACATGTCACAACATTTTGGAGCATTATTTTCAAACTTTTATTAAATAACATTTTTACTACTTACATCAATGAAATTGGTATCAAAATGTAGTTTATAATTTAAATTTTAATATTATATATGTTTTAATTTCTTGATTTAAAAGAAAATTTAAAGAAAAAAAATGTTAAATATTGATTTTTGTGTGTCACATACACATATAGTTGTCTTATTGTTCAGTTTCCATTTTATTATGCCCATCATGTACAAGTAGCTATTGAATTAGAACCTTGAATTTGAGATACAGACAAGCTAAATATAAAATAAGAACCTCCCTCCTCTATGATTTGCTTAGATAGCAATATTTTTAGCGAATCTACTAGTGGATCCTCCCACTGCACCAATCTTTTGAAAGCTCTTGTCTAGTCCCGCCTACTACTAATTAGTTCCTGTTTATAACCAACAGAAATAACATTTTCACCTCTACTTAACTCTGACAGTTGTTTATAAATAGCCTGAAGGAGAAAATAATAATTTTGCCAAAACTGTTGAAGTGTGATGAATATGTCATTGCTCTGAATAGGAATGGGATTTTTTTAACGTACATAAAGTTTATTTAGAGACCTAACTAAATTACAGGGATGTTGAATGTACTAATACAGTAATTTTACAACTTTGTGGTCTTCAAAAATTAATATTTGAAGCCTACAAAAATTAGAATATCTACACCCGCCACCCAGAAGAATAAACAAGGCTTATTGGGAGGCTTAGCACATTTCATGCACAAGCACAATATTTCATAACAGTGTTACGTACTCGAAATCTTTGTTTTTCAGTGTATTTCTCATTTATTTTCTATGTTTTAAGAAGTATAACTACAATTCAAGCATTTATGAGTAAATGGTTTTATGTATATTTATATACATATGTAACGTATGGTAGCCGAAATATCACTGTAATTTTCAGTATCCTTGTATTATAATTACATTTGTATTTTGTAGGCCAATACATAGTTATGCCTACTTTATTTGTTTTATAATAATTGTCTAAACTGAGGTAAGTTAAAACCAAATTATACAACATTAGAAACTTGACAAATTTAAAACAAGTTTATTCATAACATTTAGAAAGGTAAAATAATTTACAAATATTGGGAAATAATATTATGCACAAATGTTTATACATGACTAAAAGGAATAATGGATTTACAAACTGCTTGAATCAAAAACACATACATGAAGTTGTGAACAGAATAAAAGTGTTTATATATGCCTAAGAGGAATAATGTACATACAAAGTGCATGAATCAAAAACAAACACATGAAGTTGTGCAAAGAAAATGCTCTGTGAATGAATGGAAATTTATGGATATGTATTTTATTACAAACATTTTAGAAAACTGCAAAAGCCATACATATGAGAGCATATACAGTATAACATTATACACTGATTTTGACACATGAAAGGGAGCATTGCTGTTGTACTTATAAGTGTATGAATACTAAAATAAAAATTTTACAAAAATATTTAAGTGAAAAAAATAATCAAAAATGCTACTAAGATTTGTTTATTTTTTTCAAAAAACAAAAACTGTTTACAAAGGAAAAGAGCAGACTTTTACCTTGTATGTAGTCTTAACTTCTTTTAAGAAGTATTTCATACACAGAAATTCATCACACATTTTATAAGAACTTGATTTTCAGGAAGGCATAGTCTGCATCTTTTTCTGTTACCTGTGTTAACAAGTTTAGGAAAGTGCCTGCCAAGAGTAAATCTCAGAGGTGATGAGTCCTGTACAGTTCTAGTGGGTGGTATACCAGAAGGACCTGGTTTGTTTTGAAGTAGAGACTCAACAAGAGCTATGACTAGGTCCATTCTGAAGGCCTTTTGGAATAATGCCTGCTGGTTGGTTTGTTGTTTGTACAAAATGTAAGCATTTACAACTATCAAGTCCAAAAGTTGAAAAAAGTTTTTTATACCATTTTATTGTCCTTTGTGCAGTAGAGTAGTAACTTGAGTGTTGGTCATTTAGGTCCACTCCTTCCATA